CCCCGTTCCTCAGCGATCGTAGCGCTACGACAGTCGTAAGTCTATGTTAAAGTATGGGTTACGATCACCTTAGCGCTACGATCGTTTTGAGGAACGGGGCCCTGGACCAGACAATCCAGTGATCAACATCTTGAGCATCGATCTATGCATTTGGGATACGATGACATGGGTCAACCAAGTCAGCGAGCCTGACCACCCGGTCCCGTTGGTCGCCTCTTACGACAAGCATTTATTGCTGAAGATCAATTCTAACCCGGATCTTCACAGGTAGAATTGGGAAGAGATAACAAGATGTACCAAGATGCAGAAACAGGTAGCAAGATGTGGTAGTAGGTTCCAATATATATAACAGGAGCACTTCGTCACAAAATGAGAACGGTGTGTCGCAAAGTAACTCCAAATCGGGAATAGTTAATTACATGTATGTAATTACGGTACAGACCAATGGATACCCTGTATTCAATGATGTCTTCTGTATACTACGTTATGTCCATCACTGGAAAAACTTGTTTAAGAAAATATCATGACACTAAGTGTTCAAGTTGACTCTTTAACGGTGGGAGTCACAACTGTAGGAAGAACAGAGCACACACATACTGCACGTGCTCCATTGTATACTCTTAAAAAAAGGTAGCGACATATACTCATGCCAATAATGGTTGTCACCCCCCTCCCTCCCCACCCCAACCCCACACACACCTCACACACCCACCCCAAGCCCCCTCTCCAATTAAAAAATTTGAAGGGGGTGACAACCATTATTGGCATGAGTATATGTCGCTACTCAGTTCATTTGAAACAGCTGATTTTAAACAAGTGTAATTTCTTTCAATGTGAGGCAGAAAGAAGAAAATCATTTTATGCCTTTCGTAAATACTTGAAACAAGCTTCTAAAGCTCTTGGAATGTCTTCTGAGAAACTGTAAAATTGTGGCCGTCGACGGACCCGAACAATTAAGTTAGACCTGCAATTGTTGAATGGATTCAGAAAATAAGTACATGTCACAAAGTCTCTTGAAGAAATACCATAAATCTGAACGAGATTTAAATGCTTTCAAATTACAAGTTGTGTCAGCTTTTGCCTGCATTTGGATGCAGATACAAAATATTAAGTGGTGAAAGTAGGGATGTGTTATGTGAACATCTGACATTGTTTGTCTTAGACATCCATGCCACGGCCTCGGCCTATTAAGACGAAATAAAAAAAGTTAACTTTATAGCAAGATAAATTATCTTTTAGCAATGATTCTTAGAACTGTGTGCATCAGTTTTGTATAGGAGAAGCTTTAGTGTATAAAGGGCTTTTCACTTTGTGTGCGCAGCTCAGCATTAACGGGTAGATATAGGGGTGTTCCATGCGTATTAGCGTGACACCATCGGATACCTCTAGCCTTTAGGGGGGGGGTAGGGTAGCTTAGTGGTTAAAGCGTTCGCTCGTCACGCCGAAGAACCGGGTTTGATTCCCCACATGGGTACTAAGTGTGAAGTCTATTTTGATGTCCCCCCCCCCCCCCTCACAAACACACACACCGTCATATTACTGGAATATTTCTAAAAGCGGTGTAAAACCATATTCACTCACTCACTCTATCCTTTGAGTACTTGTCCAATTCTCATTGTTTTACTACCAGAACAAACAATGGCGAAAAGCGTTTCGTCATGCACAAGTAGATGTTACATATGCTGTCTAACCGATTTTCTCGGCAATCATGCTCATGAATGTTTTGGCAGATAAGGATTCGCAAGACAGTGCCACATCGTTGATCTGCCATCTTTAAATGAGACATTGTGACATGAGACACTCCTAATACACCTGCAATTAGATAATGACACTGCATTTTCACTATCCTTTCACCAACTGTTCTCTGCTCTGGTTATTTGATACTCGAGTTATATTTTTTCATTTTGGCCTAGATTTGATACACAAGCAAACTATGGTACGTTGTAGCTCGACGAAACAAAAGGTGGGAATATTTATCAATATGTACCAGAATGTGGATATATTATCGAGATATAGCAGGATATGGTAATATTTAGCCAGGGGAGCAACATGTTACAGGAGGATGAAGTAGCAAGATGCATTAGGATGGTTGGTCGGTTTGTTGTTTTACGCCGCAATCAGCAATATTCGAGCAGTATGTCGGCGGTCTGTAATTAATCGAGTCTGGACCAGACAATCCAGTGATCAGCAGCATGAGCATCGATCTAAGCAGTTGGGATACGATTACATGTGTCAACCAAGTCAGCGAGCCTGACAAACCGACCCCGTTAGTCGCCTCTTACAAGCAAGGGTTACTGAAGATCAATATTCTAACCCGGACCTTTACGGGCAGGGGCGCTATGACATAAGAGCAACAAAACGTATCAAGTTGTATCGTCATGTGTCCAGATATAAAAAGAGGTAGCAAGAGCTAGCAAGTGAGTGAGTGAGTGAGTGTGGTTTTACGACGCTTTCAACAATGTTCCAGCAATATCACGGCGGCGGACACCAGAAATAGGCTTCGCACAATGTACCCATGTGGGGAATCGAACCCGGGTCTTCTACGTGACGAGCAAACGCTTTAAGTACTGGGCTTACCAGCCACACACACTCAATGATTAATCAAGATATAGCAACACGAAAGAACCAATTCTTTTAATTTCTACTTTACCAATATACCCTTAATACCCTCCTTATCGATATACACAAATTTCATGGACACCAACTTCTTTATTACGAGAGTTTCGATACAGATTCTTGTACCGCTGTCAAGCAGGAATGAAGTCCTCCATATCTACCTGTGAACACACCGATCCAAGACAATCTAAACGCACCACTCCAGTTGGCGTCAACCCCTTAAAGCACGTGTATATCTATTCTGATAAACTCTAAAGAATCCTAGCACAACATATAACAGTCTCACTTTAAAGACATGTATTTACTTGTAAAAACGCATGTTCGAGAGCGTGATCGTGAAGTTTCAAATACTACACTGCGGTGCATTACACCTGATGTACCTCCGAGGCACTTTTTAAAACAGAATGAAATAAAACTTGTTCCTAAGTTCGGGGGTCTGACATTTTTCGCAGCATTGGCAGTTCCGCTCTGTCTGATATTTTCGGTAATGTCAGCTCGAATTGCTGCTGAAGGCGTACGAGTAAGCCGCCGAACACGTGACTGGTCTGACCTGGGTCACGTGACTTACCATACTGCTGGCACTTACCTTGCTCTAAGGCTGTACTGAATGCTTAGCCGACTGATGTAAAGTAATTCTATCCTTTAAAGAGGCAATTCTAGATAAGCGACCAGTACAAGGACGCCAGTCTGTTTTTACTATTTTTTAGAAATTCTCATTGAAACTATTAATTACTACCCTAGAGACTTGTGCAAGTCTGTGCTGACACTTATACGAAAGTCTAGAGATGGTGAACTGGGTCACTATGAATTTCCTGTATACGGCCAGTTCTAACCCACCTACTTCGTTCTATGACGTCGTTCCACTTGAGTTATAGTCTCACCAAGTTAGACGGTATTCTTTGCGTAACAAATGGAATCACATTCGCCCGGTAGGGGGCGCACGTGACCCAGTTATCTAGGGTATCGCGAGATGCTTTGTAGAGTTGCGCACCTTTGGTGTGACAGGGTTCGATGATCATGGGATCAAGTCAAAGTTCGCCCCAATTACGACCTAACTTTATTGAAACACAAAATGTAATACCTATCCGTCGCATCAAAGTGGTTCACGTGACTTTGCAATTTCCTCCAAAATAACCGAACGGCGTAACTGGAAAAAGAGTGCCGAACCAAGCCCATTCACTACACCCCTTGTAACCGCCTCCGTGATGCAGTGGTTAGAGCGGAAGGTCGCGGGTTCGATCCCCGGCCGCGTCATACCATGCAAAAGACGTTAAAATATGGTACTTGTTGGTCCCTGCCTGGCACTATAAAACCAGCTGAAGCCTGGGCAAGTACAAGCAGCCACACATACACACACATGTACGTCGTCATATGACCGAAATATTCTTGTTAAAGGATATGGTATATTTTTAAATTTATTTTGAACTCAAGCGGTGCCTCCGTTTCGCTTGATTCTTCTTCATCTTCCCTGGAAAATTGTCTTGCAAGATGTAAAATCGGATCGTATTGATACGGTCTAACATCCATTTCAGAAATGACATCAGAAACACCTTTTACTGCTTCAGAATCCATGGACACTGTTAAGTTGTGAGGTAAAATCAAAGAGGCAGCCATCAGCAACAGGCACATATGACGTCATGTCACGTGATACCCCCTCTGCTCATTAACTGTCGGGTGCTTCCGTTAAAGGCGGAAATACGTGTACGTTTTGTGTGTTTTTATAGCTATTTTACAAACTTTTTGTTCAATTTTAATCACGAAAGGTGACTTTTAGAATATCATTTACAATATATCAAAAGTTTTGTTTTCGTTCGGATTCTCCTTTAAGTACGACGTTAAACTCCATTTCACCTCACACCCCTAGCAATGGCGGTGGTGCCACATACTGAGGCAGTGATGTATACTGCTGTTCTGCTGTTGGTTAACGACCCTCATAACTTTGCAGTATCTACGAATTCATAATATATCTGTCTGTATATTTGTGGTTAACCGAAATCTTCTATATGATGATATCGCTGACCTAGACTCGTATTTTGATTCTGTTATCATTATTGTGGTTTAGCCTACTGAGATCGTGATATAGACTTCAGACAGGACCACGTCATATCTTCAAGCATCGCTGGCCTTGACACTATAAGGGTTATACTGCTCCAAATCAGAATCCGTAGCTTGAGTACAGACTGAATAATCTGACAGCAGTGATTGGGTGGTTTTGTGTAATGTACATCCATCCAGTCATTAAAACACCATAATTGTTTAATATTTAGTGCTGTCTTTTTCACATGATGACTTATGCTGGATGTGACCCCAGGTATTTTAAACCAGTTGACATTTTGTGCGGAACTGGTGTTTGTCTGTTTAGCTTCCGGTACTCGGAAAAGGAGCTGAGGTGGGGTTTTTATATATTTTTATTGCTTTTTATAAGGCCACACTATACACACTCGTACATGTAATAGCTGTTGATGGCTTAGTTCATTGTTTTAACAATAAAAAATTCTTACTATAGAAGTCGAGTGAGTGAGTGAGTTGGGTTTTACGCCGCTTTTAGCAACATTCCAGTAATATTACGGCGGGGGACACCAGAAATGGGCTTCACACATTGTGCCCATGTGGGGAATCGAATCCGCGTCTTCGGCGTGACAAGCGAACGCTTTAACCACTAGGCTACCCCACCGCCCCGGGAGAAGGTGAAACAACAGCAATGTCAAAACGTTTGTTTGTTTGTTTGTTTGTATAAGTTGCACTCAGCAATTGTTCCAGCTATATGACGACAGTCTAAATAATCAAGGCTGGACCAGATAAACAAGTGAGCCTCGATCAGCGAACATGACCACCAGACCCCGGTAATCGCCTCTTACACCATCAGTGTGCAATACCCCTCAGCTATGTTTCAATTGTTTAATTGCTTGGAAAAGCCGCCAACGTACGTTTTCTTTTAATTGCATGTAAAACGGTAAGAGACCTTAAAATAACGCCAAGGACATCAACGCCAAGGACATCAACAGATATGCAAAACTATCGTTACAGACACATTAATAGTTCTAAACATTTAAAGGGGCGGTGGGGTAGCCTAGTGGTTAAAGCGTTCGCTCGTCACGCCGAAGTCCGGGTTCGATTCTCCACATGGGTACAATGTGTGAAGCCAATTTCTGGTGTTCCCCGCCGTGATATTGCTGGAATAATGCTAAAAGCGGCGTAAAACTCAACTCACTCACTCACTCTAAGGATTTAAATACAATATCGAAAGTTACATTTCCCTGACGAATATCAAAATAATCAGAGTAACGCGCCACGTGGGTTCAGTAGGTATGGCTCACTTAGGTCAATCGAAGCATGACGTAAATGAGTTCACATGGGTTCACTAAGGTCGTCATGAGTTTTGAAATCGAGTCTGAGATCCACATGACAACCTGTCAACAAGCTTACGTCATCCTCGTAGTGACAATTGTAATACATGTCTGCACTTGTGTGATACGTGATGTGGAGTGAGTGAGGTAAGTGTACTTTGAACCAGGTATATCTTAAGGAAGCGTATTAATGCCACAGTGAGTGAGTGAGTGAGTTGGGTTTCACACCGCTTTTAGCAATGTTCAAGCAATATCGCGGCCGGGGACACCAGAAATGGGCTTCACCGGGTAACACAGTCTAAATTAAATTATATAAAACGTGTTCGTAGATAATACTTTAATGAACGTAGATGATATTTAAATTTAGTAATCTAAATTATCGTAATCTAATTAGGAGAAAGTATCATCTACTATCGAATTATCGACATGGTAACCATATCATATCACGTGATTGACAATAGGCCCTGGTGTGTTTCATGTAACCTCTGGTTTAATTAATGATGCCCGAATTGTTTGACTTCCAAACTTTATGTGTGTTTATGGGGGCACTATCATAACATTAAAAAAAACAACTTTTCATTTAAATGTGTCGAAGTTTTGTTAATTAAAGATTGACCGTGTATTTTATTTCTGTTTATTGGGGTATGAAGCGAAAACCGAATTGCAAATTTCTGTAAGATTCCCGGATTCATATATACTATCCCAAAAAAGAAACGCATAGGCGTTTTGTATTTTCAAAATCTATTAATTACCTATTGTGTTCAAACAATCGTCAAAATATGTAACAAAAGTGTTGATAACATGATTTTACACAACTGCACAAGTGAAAAGTCCACTTTACCTGAAAATGTTGATTTTGATGAGATTTCTTACAAGAATTAAAAAGGCATCGCCAGAACGCAACAGAAATCAACTTCCAGTTGAAATTGTGCAGCAAAGAGCCTGCACTGTCTGGCTATAAAAATCCAGATTACTTTTGGAAATCGGCATCCGTTTTGAAGGACTGACTGAGTTTGGTTTTACGCCGCTTTTAGCAATATTCCAGCAACATCACAGCGGGGGACACCAGAAATGTGCTTCACACAATGTGCCCATGTGGGGATTCGAACCCGGGTCTTCGGCGTGACGAGCCAACGCTTTAACCATTAGGCTACCCCACCGCCCCCGTTTTGAAGGAGTATCCAGGTCAGATCACTAAGCCAAATCTTGACGCTGCGACACGGAACATAGCCAATGAAAGACTGCACGCTGGAGATTACCAATTTTCTGTTGCCAGGCGTCTGAATGTTAGTCTGAGTACGATATCACTGCTTGCAGCTAGTTACAACCAAACAGGTATAACAAATGACCGTCCCCGTACAGGCAGACCTCGAGTCACCACTGCAGCCCAAGATCGGTACAACTGGTTGCTACATTTGCTCGATCGTACGGCCACGTGTGAGAGCACAGCAACCAGAGTGCCTGGACTTCGAAGGTTATCCGGTCAAACTGTAAGGAACAGGCTGAGAGAGATTGAACTGAGAGCCAGGAGACCCGACGTCGGGACCATGCTACGTGGTCACCATCGCGATCAGCGTCTCCGTTATCTAAAATTATCCATTTGGTTGTATGGACATTACCTTCTTCTAAACTGATGTAAAAATTCATTTCTGTAAGTCTATTTGTGGACGAGTTATACATGTTTGAAAATACAACATTTTCGCAACAGATTTCTGGGCATGCGTTTCTTTTTTGGAATAGTATATATTAAAGGCATCAAAACAAAGTTCATAAGATGTGTCAATCACGGTAAGAGACGGGAAGAACAACAACAGTCAGCCCGTAACAACCCGGGTCAAATATGTCAGTAGAAGGCGGCTATTTAAAAACACGGTAAGTATCTGCCGGATTCAAACATTGGTTCACGAGTTAGAAATGAGTTGTTATACCATAGACCGATCCAGTCTGTCAGTCAAAACAACATAGATTAGCCAGTGGTTGTCCTCCCAAACGTGAAGACCGCCTTCGTGGTGTAGTGAGTTTAGAGCGTCCGCCCGGAGTGCGGAAGGTCGCGGGTTCGATCCCCGACCGCGTCATACCAAAAGACGTTAAAATATGGTACTTGTTGGTCCCTGCGTGGCGCTCGACATTACTGGGTACATTACTGGGCATTACTGGGAGTCAGTATAATGTGTCTGAGTGGGGTATTCATGCTTCACTGCGGCATGGTATCTCCAGTGGGCTAGCACTATAAAACCAGCTTCAGTCTGGGCTAGTACAGGCAGCCGCACATACACATACACACGCATGCACGTCGTCATATGAGCGAATTATTCTCAAGCACGACGTTAAACCCAATTCCACCACCACCACCACCCAAACGTGAAAAACAAAGGACGAGAAAGCAGGGCTTATCGGCCGAGACTGTGTGCAGTCTGTAAGCTGGTTCCCGACTCCTTTGCGCGCGCCATCTTGCGTATGGCGATATGGGAGACGCGGCCCAGTTTACACAAGTCTGCAACAGGCGGGCATATAGTAAGCTGGTTCCCGGCTCCCTTTGCGCGCGCCACCATAGCATAGTTGCAGATCGTCCCAGGCGCCACCGGGCTTTGACGCGCCAATATGACATCAAATCAGGTTACGTCATCTCCGCAACATGTGTATGCCTGGAACCTCCATTTGCAGAGAGTTGTTCAGATATGCGGTGTCAACCATCAGAAACTTTATCCGAGCTAAACGACAATAGGCCTACCCAGGACTTATCCCTGGCGGACTTTCATCTAGTCTCTCGTACAGACCCTGAAGCAAATATATCCAAGAAAGCCCACGCAAGTCTAGAAAATGTGGCAAGTCTAGATTTCCTCAGCTTCTGAAAATGAATGAAGAGTCTCAGGGCTCCTTTTCATTATATATATATATACTGAGTCAAAATGAAACTTCACAAAATGTAATTTGAAAAATAATGAATAATTTTTCTGATGATACATCTATGTATCCGAAATGGGATCCCTATCTTTCGACTCTAGAAAAACGTTAGCAAAACCCACTCAAACCCATCCATTCGTCGTGCAAATGACGTTAGTGCCAAATCAGGTTTTGCACGTGCAGTCGATCACGTGATCTTCGCATCGAAGTTTTCTTGCTATGCACGTGTTTTGCATTGGCCTCAAGAATTGAAAACACATTTTAAACCACAGTTCTAACGGTACTTGAAATGCCACGATTGTCAAATGTGTAACGTGAACATGCCGCTGGCATGTTGCAAGCGGGAAGATCAGTTATTGACGTCGCAAGAGCAATGGGATGCAGCCGTCGTACTGTGTATGACTTTCGAGGTCGTCTACAACAAACTCGCATCACTTCTGATCGCCCAAGGTCGGGTCGTCCACGTGTGACGTCACGAGCAGAAGACCGTCAAATCGTCCTACGTCACCTACGTGACAGATTTCTGCCGGCTACACGAACCAGGGCTGAGATGTTTAGAGGTCGACTGTCCTCACAGACCATTCGAAATCGGTTGCGGGCTGCCAATCTCCATTCTCGACGTCCATATCGTGGGCCAATATTGACGCCATTTCATCAACTTCAACGTCTGCTGTGGGCCCAACGTCACCTCCGATGGACCCAGAGAGACTGGAATCGAGTCGTCTTTAGCGATGAATCCAGGTTTACCCTCAGATTCGCGGACGGCAGGCATAGAGTCTGGAGACGACGTCGTGAACGGTATGCCCAATGTTGTGTACAGGAAGTCGACAGATTCGGGGGCGGAAGTTGCATGGTGTGGGTGCTTTCTGTGGGAACAACCGTTCCCTGACTTCTGGTCATCCGTGGAAACCTCACAGCTGCTGCTTACCGCGACCAGGTGCTCACCCCTGAACTCGTTCCTTTCATGGCGGCTCATGGCCCAGGTCTACAGTTCCAGCATGATAATGCTCGGCCGCATACCGCGATGTTGACACGAAATTTCCTTCAAAAACGCTGAAATCAACGTCATGGACTTGGCAATCGAGGTCCCCTGACTTTAATCAAATAGAGCACGTTTGGGATGCACTTGGGGAGAAGGCTTCGTGGTCTTAGGAACCAACCTAAGAATTTGCAGGAACTTGGCGCTGCTTTGCAAGAGCAATGGCGCAGAATCCCCAACCACGTGTTCACAAGCATCAGGCAGTCGATGAGGAGACGGTGTTTGGCAGTGGTGAATGCGCGGGGCGGCCATACACGATATTGAACTGAGAAATTTCGCATTTCTATTCTTGTGACTTGACATTCTGTATACCCATGTTTTGGAACGGCGGTGTAGCCTAATGGAACTGATTATGGCACTGTCAGTGTATCGAGTACATCACACAGATCTCAGCAATGAAATAATAACAATTTAACCATCTTACCATCTCTTTGTTCTTTATAGTGCCTATGAACGGTTTTTTCAAGAAAAAATGTTCATTTCAGAGAGTTGTTAGTCTTTTTCGTCCCTCAACGTTTACGATGTGCGCAGACGGATAACAAGAGGTTGTGGAACTGGACTATCGTTAGTGACGAGTCAAAGCTTCACACGATAGTCGTAAGCGTATGTTAAAGTATGGGAGTTACGATCATCTAAGCGCTACGGCTTTGAGGAACGGGGCCCAGGACTATCGTTAGTGCTTCACATTGCGCTTTGCCGATGGCAGGGTACGACGCTCTCCTACCCAGAGTTCCATGCGGCCGTCGTCTGCTCAGTGTGGCGCAGCAGGGTAACGTACCCACAGTGTTGAGTTGGTGAGGTTGACTGATTTGAAGGGGCGGCGTAATGGTTTGGGAGAATTTTGTGCCAGTGGTCGAGCATTCTCATATTTGAACCCAAGATCAAAGGTTTCTGGCATACAGAATGCCGTTCTTCACAGAGACCGCCAACAACTGACACGACTGGGGCCTTATTATGTGTGCCGAAATATACCACCTCAATATATCAGTGTGCTACTGACCGACTGTACCCAAGCCATCACTATTATCTTCAGTAGGTACAGAGTGCATCATGTCGAGACACAAAACCATGTTAGTATCAAAGTCTAACACCAAAAATCGCGATAGTGAATCTCTCACGCCCAAGTTTTGAGATCGACGACCCCTGTCAAAGATTACTCACAGATTAGATAACACATATAGACACTGACTTATTACAAAACACGACGGCCTTGAAAAGTGACGAGTAAGCACAAGTGTCATGAACCTATGTTGCGTAAACAACAAACAAGTAACCAATATATAAGTGGACGTGTCGGGCCATAGGTCATTACAAATTATGAAATTAAGTGAGTGAGTGAGTTGGGTTTTACGCCGCTTTTAGCAATATTCCAGCAATATCACGGCGAGGGATACCAGAAATGGAGGCTTCACACATTGTACACATGTGGGGAATCGAACCTGGTCTTCAACTTGACGAGCGAACGCTGTAACCAGTAGGCTACCCCACCGCCCCTATCAAATTAAGACATGCCTGGGTATTTATTTTAGTTTGAGAATTTGGTTTAACGTTGTTTTTGAACATTATTGTAGGCTTGATGTGGGTGAGAGTGATTTTTACATCACTTCAAGCAGTATTCCTGCAATGTCCAGAAGAGGTCACCAGAATGGGGCTGCACACATTGTACCCATGTTGGGAATCGAACCCGGGTCTTCGGCGTGACGAACAATCGCTTTATCCACTACAGGGCTACCCCACCGTTCAATTATAGGGTTAAAGGTCCAAATTAACGTTCGAAATTAACGTCAGTCCTAAGGTCCGAAGCAGATTTGAAAACCACTCGGATCCACAGCTTTTGTTTTCGCAAGATCCTTGTGGCCGACAGCTTTTTCATCCCCAATAACTAAGAACATTATTTCCATATTAAATTTATAGGGTCTACACATTCTGATCAGGACCCACAACCTTTTATGGTTCTTGGTCCTTAGGGCCTGCAGCTTTTCAGGGTTAAGGACAAACACTGGTCCTAAAGTGATGCGTGCGTCTTGAACGACCGCAGATCACGTAGCGTGGCCGCAAACTCGGGTCAACATGACACTCGGAGATTTGTTTACTTCCGGGCATATGTCCTAACTTCGTGCGAGTATGTACGGCAAAATTATTGAAAGCTTTAAATGGGAATAAAATCACCAGGTTTGTGATACGCAAGGTACTTTACAGAGGTCAACTGAGTATAAATTGTGCAGTTTATTCAACGGTCAAAGCGATGGAAGCGTTTGTCAGAACAAAACAGAGCCGGGCCGAGCCGGGCCGCCATTTTGTTTCGATTTACTGACACACCTTTCTTATATCTTATATATATAGATCATACTTATACATATATCAGAGTCGGGCGCCTATGGGTACGACGCTTTCCTACCCAGAGTTCCATGCGGCCGTGTTCTGCTCAGTGTGGTGCAGCAGGGGTAACGTACCCACAGTGTTGAGTTGGTGAGGTTGACTGATTTGAAGGGGCGGCGTAATGGTTTGGGAGAATTTTGTGCCAGTGGTCGACATTCTCATATTTGAACCCAAGATCAAAGGTTTCTGGCATACAGAATGCCGTTCTTCACAGAAAACACCAACAACTGACACGACTGTGGCACCTATGTACCCGAAATATACCACCTCAATATGTCAGTGTGCTACTGACCGACTGTACCCAAGCCATCACTATTATCTTCAGTAGGTACAGAGTGCATCATGTCGAGACATAACACCATGTTAGTATCAAAGTCTAACACCAAAAAATCGCGATAGTGAATCTCTCACGCCCATGTTTTGAGACGCCCCCTGTCAAAGATTACTCACAGATTAGATAACACATATAGACACTGACTTATTACAAAACACGACGGCCTTGAAAAGTGACGAGTAAGCACAAGTGTCATGGACTTATGTTGCGTAAACAACAAACAAGTAACCAATATATAAGTGGACGTGTCGGGCCATAGGCCATTACAAAGTATGAAATGATGTGAGTGAGTGAGTTGGGTTTTACGCCGCTTTTAGCAATATTCCAGCAATATCACGGCGGGGGATACCAGAAATGGGCTTCACACATTGTACACATGTGGGGAATCGAACCCGGGTCTTCAACTTGACGAGCGAACGCCGTAACCAGTAGGCTATCCCACCGTCCCTATCAAATTAAGACATGCCTGGGTATTTATTTTAGTTTGAGAATTTGGTTTAACGTTGTTTTGAACATTATTATCAGCTTGATGTGGGTGAGTGAGTGATTTTTACATCACTTCATGCAGTATTCCTAGAATGTCCAGGAGAGGTCACCAGAAATGGGCTTCACACATTGTACCCATGTTGGGAATCGAACCCGGGTCTTCAGCGTAACGAACAATCGCTTTATCCACTAGGTTACCCCACCGTCCAATTATAGGGCTTAAGGTAGACTAAGGCTTAGTCTCTGAATATATATAATTTTGATAGTAACAAACAAGCCCATTTATATTGAAAAGGAGCCCTAGGGAGACCAGAGATTCAGAACCTGAACCTGAGGAAATCTAGACTTGCTTTATTTAGGGCTTTAGCACCGCAGAGAGGGCTTGGCAGTAGGGAAATTAATGTGGTTCAGGGACTGTGAGACAGACTAGGCTTAAGGGTCTGAAGCAGCGTTCGAAATTAACGTCGGTCCTTAGGCCGACTGAAAACCGACTGAAAACCGACTGAAAACCACTCGGACCCACAGCTTTTGTTTTCTGTAGGTCCTTGTGGCCGACAGCTTTTTCATCCCCAATAACTAAGAACATTATTTCCATATTAAAATATAGGGCCTACACATTCGGATCGGGACCCACAACCTTTTATGGGTTAAGGACAAACACTGGTCTAAAGTGATGCGTGTCTTGAACGACCGCAGATCACGTAACGTGGGCCGCAACTCGGGTCAACATGACACTCGTGACCCCACACTCGGGGGAGTGTGAGTGAGGATGTGAGGAACACAGTCCAGATGCTGCATGATGGGATGAGAGCGCTGACTAGACTTGGGATTATTCTTTTACCTGGAGCCGAAGAATGAATTGTCTATGAAGCAAGTTAATTATGATGTGACGTCAACAGAAAGCGGTCATCACGTCGACTTTTATCAAGGACGGATGGATACGGAGACATGTGGTTATCTAGACAGACAGTTCTGTTAGCCCGATATCCGCCTGTCACAGTGCACCTGGACCACAAACATACAGGTCATTATGTTGAGACAAAAGTGGAGGTGTGTTCTTGAAACGAAAGTGGAGGTTCTTTCTTGAGAAAGCAAAGTCATTTCTTGAGAAAAGGAAGAAGATCCTCCAAGGAGACAAACGTGGCGGTTTTGTTCTTGAGGCAAGCATGTAGGTCCTCTCTTGAAAAAACACACGTAGGTCCTCCCTTGAGAAAAACATGTAGGTCCTCTCTTGAGAAAAACATGTAGGTCCTCTCTTGAGAAAAAACATGGAGTTCCTCCCTTGAGAAAAAACATGGAGGTCCCCCCTTACGACAAACATAGCCTACTGACTACAAAGGTCCAGTTTCAACCTTTACCGAGCTAGGCTCAAATTACGGAGTTGATTCGGCTGGCCTAGCAAATCTGTGCGTAATACAATAACGGGTCGACATCCAAAACTACTCTGCAGATTTTGGTCAATTGTAGGATCTGCACTGTTTGGGTAACGTTAACTCAACGCCGACAGATAACCTTTTCAGTTTTGTTTAACTTCTGTCAGGGTGTTTAACTTGATGCACTTCGTAAGGTACGACCCGTTTAATTACAATTAGATCTTGATTATCATCAAGGACGTCATATATATATGCACGCACGCACGCTCTCTCTCTCTCTCTCTCTCTCTCTCTCTCTCTCTCTCTCTCACGGACGCACGCATGCACGTACGCACGCACATACACACAAACATACATACATACATACATACATACATACATACATACATACATACATACATACATACATACATACATACATACATACATACATACATACATACATACATTCATACATACATACAATCAAAAGGCAGTCTGAATAATTGTTCTAAGACTGTCGTTACTGGAAACCTTGACTGCTTCCAGACGATGTCGTAAGACTATATTCTTTCGGTCTTGCTTTCGACTTACAATGGAATCCCCATACAGTCGAGACGGGTTCTTCTCCAGCGTCGGCGTTTAACAAGGTAGCATTAGGTTTCAACGAAAGTGTTCATACAAAGGTAACCTCCTTGCAGAATGCTTAATTAACAGTCTCACAGACATATTGGTTTGTCTCAATATGACCTCTCTGTGACCCCTGTTACACCATGCCGTGACCTTAAAGTTCACGCGGACCACTCTCAAGGCCGCAGTTGTTGAACTCTCAGACTTACGGGAGAACGGGCTTGGTCTAGCCTTGCTCCAAGGCTGTACTGAGTGCTAAGCCCATGGATGTATAGTAATTCTATCCTTTAATGGGGCAAGTCTAGATAAGGGGATAAGATAACCCCAGTCTGTTATATATATTTTTGTTAGAAATGATCACTTATACTATTAATTATTTATTACCTTAGAGACTTGTGCGAGTCTTGGTACAGTCCATCTAGCTGTCTGGTAATAACGTGTGTGATTTGAGAAATAATGACTGCTCGATAACCTGCCGGGTAAAACAATATATACATCCACACTTGGTGGCTGCTGTACTTCCGACAAGTACAATACAACATAGTAGATTTTGTAATATTACATACCGATATCTTCCAATAATCACTAATCTCAGTGACGGTCTACTCCCATTTGTGAGAACTCCCAGTTGTGAGACTCCCAGCTGTGAGACAGTGGAGTAGGTACTTAGCAAAGAAAATACACCTTACTCCCCTATCTGATAGAATGGATTAACCCCAACTAATTATGGATCAGCTATTTAACTGAATCTTGTGGAGGTAACTTAATGAAACTCTAAAAGATAAAGTACTTAACCTACTCAGATAAATGGCTTTAAAAAATAAACACTTTGTGTAGGTAACTTCGTGATCATTTGAAAGAGAAATTAATTTACCTACTCAGATATACGTGTTTGAAAAATCTAGCAATAATTGTTGTCACTATAATTAATCCAAATGTATTTATTAACCTTTGACTGCTCTTTCCTATCACCATTATGGCAGGCCTTCAACAAGTAGAATATATCACCAGTTCAGGATAATCTTTTTCAGTAATTCAGTATCTATTGAAAACAATAAATGCTCTTCAGCGAACAATGTCTTCTGTGTTAATTAACTCATTAATGAACTATGCCTCCTGCGGGTATTCTTCAGCAACAGGGCTGTTCCCACTTTCATCGTAGGGATGGGGAAGCACCACCTGTGTGCACTGAACCATTAATTAATGTGTCTCACAACTGGGAGTTCTCACAAATGGGAGGTCACCTCAGTGACCATTAACTGGACAAAAGAAAGTATTATCTGTTTGTGGCGAAAACGAACGGGATGGACACGGACCTACAGAGTCCGAATGTGTGTTCTATATTTATAGGTTGGTTGAGTGACACATTGTACACTAGCCACAACAAGAAATGTGCATCGTTAAGATTCCTTCTAGATTTGAAAATAAAACAGCAAAGAAATGTCTCCATGGAAACTGATAATGGAAACTGAGATCAATACGGCAGAATACACCCACGACACATCACGGAATTAAGCACATGCATATGAGTTCATTTAGAACAGGTATATATGGATGACAACTTCTTTGGTTCTTGAGCACGACGTTTCGATACAGGTTCTTGTATCGTTTTGACATTTCGATACAGATTATTGTATCGTTTTCAAGTATGAATACTTGAAAACGATACAAGAACCTGTATGAATACTTGAAAACGAGAACCTGTATCGAAATGTCAAAACGATACAAGAACCTGTATCGAAACGTCGTGCTCAAGAACCAAAGAAGTTGTCATCCATATATACTTGTTCTATCGGATTTCCAACTTCTAAAATGCCACTCAAAGAAGTCATACGAGTTCAGCAATTCCGTAAACGTGTAGGTCCAATATATTCTTGATTTCCTATATGCACAGTTTCTTTTGTAGATAAGTATAATCGCGTTTGGTGAGACATTTTCAGCACAGAGATAAAATACTTTTCGATATTCAAGTTTGAGGGGAAATGCATTTTGTTAAATCGGAATATTTGAAACGACCTCAACT